GAACGGCTGGCAGGAAAGTTGACATTTTAAACCTTAATAAAATAATCGATACAGGGCTTTAGAATATTGATACAGTATCGGGAAATGAAATATCGCGATATTTCAGTGTACCGATATTTTCTTACACCCCTAATGTGTGCACTGCTGGCCGTTTCAGGAGAATGCAACTTATTGAACTGGAACTCTATTTGCAGCTTCATCTCTGAGAGAGTCTTTCCACTCCCTCCATAACTTTACTTCGGTTGCTAAACTGAAGCATAATAGAGGAGCTGACCCATCATATTTGCATAATGGAGGCAGAAATGCATAAGGTAAAGTAAAAACAGGAGACAGAAAAAAGTATAAATAAACACTGAAATAATTGTGGGGAAAAGTGGAAGACAAATGCATCGACAAGTCAAAGGAAAGATAAAAATATAGATTCTTTTTAAACTGTCAAATTTTATTTATGAGCTAAAATCTAAAATTTGTTGGAACTAAGCTGGAAAAATAAATATAAAGGTAAATTAAATTATAAAGCATGAGGTAAAGTTCTCCTTTTTTACATTAGATGGTGCATTGTAGGACTATTAATTGATTTATTGGTCCATTTATATATTTCTGCTTTTATTTTTAATTATGTCAGTTTCAGTCCTCCATACCATTCCAGATAGGTAATAGGGGTGTAACAATACATTGATCTATATTAATATATCGATTTTAATTGTTCATGATTCAGTTATATCAAGGCAAAATGAAAATATCGATCTATATTGTCATCATATGCTCAGTGTGAATCGATATCATCTGCCCATCTAACACAGTCACCATGACTGTGTTAGATGGGCAGAAGATATCGCATTACATCGATCGCAGATGAAATCATATCGTGACAGACTTTGTGATAGAGAAATATCAAATCATCGTCCAAACATATCGATGTAATGTCCTGATGCATCTCAGTAATCCAGGTAGAAAAAAATCAAAAAGAAAAAATAAGTAGGTTCTCTGGATGGGTTCTTCAAGGGGACGTTGAACCCCCACTTGCATTCACTACATACACATAACACAACACAGGTCAGGTGATGGGGCACATGACCCTCTATGAACAATAGAGCTAATCAAGCCTATTGTTAGTCGATGACCCTCTTTTGCATGTGACTAACCTGTTTGTCCAGATGGAGGCGGAGCTTATAAGGCTGAGTTCACCTGAAACTCATCAGACTGAAGAAGTCTCTTGGAGGTCAGACGAAACGTTTCACTAAAGAAGAACCATCCAGAGGACCTACTGGTTTTTTTTCTTTTTGATATACGGTTATATGTGAGCCGTCACAC